TTGTCGCTGTAAATCCAGAGCAACCTGTGCAAAATCTTGGAAATTATCCTGTAAATTCAGGGCTTTCCCTTTAAGGGACAGATTTAAAGGAATACCATCCTTTGTTCTAATAAAATAGTCCGGGCTTGTCAATCCAGAAGATTTGTGCATTGCTGAACATAATGGCATTTTATTACCTAGTTTATTTCTGTCTAGCATTCTAAGACTCCTGCTGATGCTTTGACTCAGAGTAGTTTTTGGTTTGGAAGCATGAACTCCAGTGTCACAGATGACTTCTTTCTTTTGGTAATTCCGATTATTTTTTTAAGGTATTGAATGTTCAAGAAAGAAGGTGTTTGGCCAGACAGAAGTTGTGTTTCAAACTGTGAACATCTAAGCAGCAATGTGTGAAAATAGTAACCTTTATTTTCGCTGCTCTCAGTCTCTTGTTAATGCACAGTTAGCTCGTTTCTAGCAGTAGTTTAGTATATTATAGTTAAGCGTAACTACTGTGTAGTAGTATAACAGGTCTCTCACCTTCCTCAGCTGTGAATCAGTAAACAATAGCCCTTGTTCGTGCAAAAGGACGGATGTTCAAATTCAGAAGTGTCCACTGAAGACCAGCAGACTACCTCGTGCTTGAAGTTAGGATGTTGTATTTACAGAATAATTTATGCAGATTTACAATGGCCGTTGTCTGAAATTGCATGTTCATTCAGTGCGTTAAAGTAGCTTATTACAAGACAAGTCCTGCAGTATTTTTACAGTTTCTGTCAGAACACTTGCATATAAGGAAGGGTATTATAGTAAAGCTAGATTCAAGAGACATCTTTATATAAATATGAAAGAAATGGGAAATTTTCTACATTTGGAGCAGCATTATGATAGAAGTGACCTGAAATGTAAATTCTTATGCAGTTTTATTCAGTGTAATTTAGTTTTTCCTTTATAAAATAACATATAAGGTTGAGAATTTTGGATGTGCCATTCCATGTTCAGTTGTAACATTGTAAACATTCATCTTATACCTTCCTTTATGTGAAGCTATAAATCTCCATCAAAATATTTGCATCTCTTCAGTAATTTAAAACATTAAAAACAAGGGCTGAATTTCAACACAGTTGCCAGGTGGTCCCAGACCTTCACATACATTTCTATGTACATACACCAGTTAATAGTAGCCCTCCACTCACACTTGTACCATGCAGCTTGTTCCTGACTGAAGCAACCTGTGAAAAGGATACACAGTTGCATCTCATGTGAATATCGAACATGAAAGCATACATGTGTGAGTAAATCTATGGCATGTGCTTGTGGAAAAAATTACTTCTAGCTTTATTTCATTATTTTGATACCCGGGATGCACTTTGTGTTCTACACACGGAGGTTTCGTGCCCTGCCCATGCAGCACAATGGAGTGCTGTGGTTGGGATTCCTGAGGTGGTTATAGATGATTTATCTCAGGTACTCTTCCTATGTGGTTGTCCAGGAGAAAAGCTAGCAGTGCTGTATGCTTTTGCCAATAAATGAGCAGGCTCATGTAGAGTTATTGCCAGGACCTTGTTGTTGTGGCACTTCTTTGTGCTGTGTAGACGTACCTTGGAGGAGAATTACGTGTAAATCACTCATAATAGTCTGAGGCTGGAGTCTTACATTTTACTCAGAACCTTGCACAACCTTTACTACAGACATCTGTATGCTGGCCATTATTTTCTAACCAGATCGTAGTGCTGTTCTATAAAATTTTTTGCTTAAATGCTACCCAAATAAAACATTCAAAATTTTAATGAGTGAAATTTCATTGCTGTTTAATCCTTAAAATGCACCGAGCTAATTTGTGACTGTCCCTTAATTACAAAAAATTGAATCCTGAAAATTATGGCCTGGATATAGATAGTTATTATTTTCATAAGTCTTTTATTTTTACCTCCACAATATATGAAAAGGGAAAATGACCTATTGTGATTAGACCAGAGGCCTTAATGAAGGGTTATGGTCCCAGCACTGCCATTCACTCCTGACAGTGCTGAGTGAATTTGGACGAGTCATTTAACATCTGTCCACAGTGTCCTTACCTGCCTAACAGAGTTATTGGGGAGGTGAGCTGTAGTTAAGCACTCTTAAGGCACTGAGGAACTTACAAAAGTATTCTTGTCGTCATGAATCTCAATGATGGCCATGTAATCACCATTGGAGCACTTGGCCAGCCTTCAGTCACTGCTCCTCGGTCACAGATACTGAATCAAGTACTTGCTGTGCCTTCGTGTTCCTCTGCCTTAGATGATACAATATTCTTAAACCAGTTTCAGAGACATTCAGTTTCCTCCCGTACTTAGTCATAATAGCATGGATGTATAAACTGAAATATTTGGAACATACTGCTGGCCGAAAACCTAGAAGCATCTGCTGCTATTCAGACTATTTGATAACTATTTGACTGCTGCCATTTCTTTCTGAGTGCCTATTTTGAACTTTCTGCCCAAATAGGTAAATACCTAGAGCTCTTGGTTGACAAAAACCCCTAAACTTTGGATCATAGATCAAATTTGAAGCAGAAAGGAATACAATACAGAATTTGAGAATGTAGCAGTTGGACTGATAGGTAACAAAACAGGACTACTGGGAAATTGCCCGTACACGTGCCAAATGTAGAAGAAATCTGAATATTTCTGCTGACTGCACAAATCTGTAGAGTAGAGAGATTTGATGAAAGAACAAAGTTTTATTCTGTCCCCCATTCAAAGTCCAGTCTTTTGTTTGTTTGGTTGGTTGGTTTTTAATATCACTGTTCATATCATTAACATAGAAAGTGTTCATTTTGGTTCAACTGAAGAGCTTCAACAGGGCAAGAGACAATTAGAGGACTTTTGTCTTAAGAAATTACAAAATAATGCCATTGATGCATTCAGATGAGGCCAAAAGTGCATCATGAAATTCCTTTGGGAAAGCTAAGCCTAGAAAGATCCAAAAATTCTGAATTTATTGCCATTTCTATGTGGGACTCTAAAGGGCGTGTGGATCAAATCTGCTATTGCAGATAATAGTGTCATGTAATACTACTAATAATTTTTCCTCTGGTTATCTCCTGTTCTTTCAGCTTGTTAGCCTTGCTCTATTCCGGTGGACGTTAGTGAAGTGTAACCTTATTCATATTATTCTTATTAAAAATAAGCTTACAAACATGCTGTGCAGTTCAGAAGGTGCTATTTTTCCATTTCTCTGTATGTGCTCTAAAACATGTACTTTTCTCTGTCACCAGATTTTGCCCCTTTTGCTGTGTACTATTTGCGGTACCGAATAATCCTCTTGAGCTTTTCTGCCCCATTTCTCCACATCGCATTCCCACAACATGTACTCAGCAAAATATCTAGCTTGCAACCAGATACCACAGTTGTGGAAGCTTGATAAATCCTTGTCATAACAGTAGTCCCTGACATGTAAAGAACTTCAGTTTATACTTGCAAGCCAAATTTCATACCTTCATACCTCTTTCAATTAATCAAAGTTAAACCATTGTATATGTGAAGGGGCCTCTTGTGGTTTCTAAGTAAGTAGTATGGCTTTTCTGGCAGACAGCCACAAGCAATTTAGTAGGCATGTATTGTGGGGGTTGAGAGGAAGAGAGACAGGAATAATCCAGAAAGCTTTAAGAAGGACTGAGTGAAATCAGTATTTCCATACACACTACAAGAATTTTGCATTCTGTATCTTACTTTCAGCCACAGCAAAACTGTTCTGATATGTTGTCAGTAAACTAATTCTGAAACATAGCATTGACTTGGTTTTCCTCTCAGCCAGTTTTGCACTGGTTTTGCTTCAGTTAGAATATTCCCAATTTGCACCTGTGGCAGAGAAGAGTTAGGCACAGGGGGGTTAATAAACACGGTGTACAGTTAAGTGTCATATACATCACTAAATCATTTCCACAGGAATAACTCCAGTGTGGTTCCTAGTTGTCTTCAGAAATAATAAAGTTGAATTCTGTAGCCTAAATGTCAAGATGAGGCTTTATCATGTAACTTTTGACTGAGAGCTATACATCTGTAAATAGATACTAACATAAAAGGTCTGTCTCCAGCAGAGCTGATCTCTCTTTGCATTTCTGACAGGGGTCACATAGCCAATGTAAATTACCACCATAAACTGAATTCCACCTCTCCTGTAGAACAAAGTGCTTGATCTGCTTGTCTAGAAGCCAGGAGCTATGCAGAGGACTGTAATATTTCAGCAATTCAGCATGAGTGGCAACCTGTTCTTAATAATGAAGCACTGGGAATCTTTAATTTTATTTTGTCTCAACATACTAAAATCCATCCTTTCTTTAGGGGGATTACAAACTATCTGAAGGGAACCCAAAGACAAGGAGAATAATTCATGTAGAAGCACTGTCTTCCTCTATTTCATGCAAGATTCTAGTTCAACATGCACATCTTGACATCAGTAGGGAATGAGTTACTCTTAGAAAAGGACAGCCTAGGCATCTCAAGAAGAATATGAGTTCTTCTCCATTTTGTGTCATTTCGATTTAGTAACAAAATCAAATTCAAATATACAACATTAGCCACGTCAAAAGAGTTAGTGGATTTTAGTAGACAAAGAATTACAATTGAAAAATTTAAACTATTATTGCCAAGTTTTTGGTATAATGATTTACATGGATGTTTTATAACCAAGCTACAAAATGCTGTTAAAAATGACATCTAGGCCGGAAACTATAACTTGAAACTAGATTCTTATTATCATATAGGTACAACATCTTGAATTCAGTCTCAAGGGTCTCAGAAACCAAAGAACACAGCACTTTAAAAACTGTCCAACATACATATCACAAAAAATTTGGCCCCAGTTCAGTATGTGACTACCTAGAACATTTTACACACTCCTTGTTTTATATTAAAGATGAATTCAATGTAAATGTTTGGAATTCTTCTTACAAACTTGTTGAAAAGGGGCAGTATTTTAGCATGACTCCCTTGTACAAACCTGGTGTTTAGCAGATTACGTATGTTATTCTGTTATAGGTACACTACAGTGATAGACAAAATGGCAAAGAGTGTATGACCTGTTTGACACTGTCTCCTGTGCAGATGACTTTCCAAGGTATCGGAAGCTCCATTGAAGCCAGCCATGACCAGGTATAATACCTTCACCCCACACTCTTGTAATTTTATTAATATTTAGTAAGGCCAGAATGTCAGCATTAGTAAATTTTAAATTTCAACACATCTTGTGCTTTTCATATGGCATGTTCTTGTCACTGGGATTTGCCTATCTTGCCATAGTAAAATCCTGATTAGATCTAAAGAGTGACCCGAAAAGGAGACAAATTTTAAGATGTATTAGGAAAGTCTGAAGAGCTTGCTTTAATTTTAAAGTCAGATGTAAGGTTTCCACAAAGGTTTTGTTTGATTTTAAGTATGTATCAGGTCTTGTCTGGCTATTTTTACTAGAGGATTATGCGTAGCTGGAAAAGCAGAGAGGTGAGGCCATCATCTCTAGCCATCATCTGTCACAAGAAACTGGCATTTGAGAGGGGAGAGGGATTTTTAATCAGACTGCGTGTGAAACTCCCAGTTTGTTTGGCTGTTCTTAAAATGTTTAATTCAAGCTTCTGGCGAAAAGCCAGAAGAGAAAAAAAAAATCTCAATGCTAATCACTCATCACTCTGCTGCTTCAGATGGGAACTGAGGGGGACTTCAATTCTAGTCTTCTTGTCCTCCAACACACTTATGTATAAAAGCAAGACAAGACTTTGATACTCCAGGATTTCCAAAAGCAAAAAGGAAACAAGTAGAAGAAAACTTTAAACCAAAACTTGCACCTTTCAGATCTTCAGTAGATTGGGAAAAGTGCCATTTTTATTTGCCTTTGCAGGCCATCTTTAAGTTGCGCTGTGCTCACATTTACTGTACATTTTATCAGAATCTATGTAAGATTCTCTAAGGAAAAAGGAAAAGTCACCTTAAGAATTATGAGAATTAATTACTTTTGGGGAAGAGTTTCAGACACTCTTAGCCATATTTTTAATTGGTATTTTTTCTTTAATGGAAGTTTCTGAGTTAGTTGTTAACATACACTGAGCCCATTAGTTATTTACATGGTAACATAAGGATACTTCCTGCCCTTAAGTGTTTGGTGTTTTACAGTGATGGAGAGCTGTGGTGAGTCGGACCATACTTCAACATTCAGTTCTCATCTCATCCAGCAACTTGTTTATGCTGTTCTAAAGTCACCCCGTTTTCCTTTCAGTAAAGATTACCTTTTGAAATTTAGTTATAACTCAAATACAATATTTAGACATTTCAATGAATTTAAGGTGGTCCCTGTCAGTTTGGTAACAGTTACATTCTGGGCTACCAGCCAGCTTGGCCCTTTTCTTAGCATTTATTTAGGCTGGAGTATGATATGTAAACAGAAAAAAGACTTTGTGAGCAAAAAGCATATTTAAGCCATCTGAATAATTATATATTTAAGACATCTAAATGAAAAACTGTTATTGAGCCTGCAAAGTTAAGCACCTAGAAATTAGGAAATTCCAGGTTATGTCCAGCATTAGTTTGATCCCAAGCGTACCCATTCAGTGCTCTAAACAGGACATTCCTCTGGGAGGAAAAAAAAGAAGGCATAAAATCACATAAAGGTTGTACCATAGCACGTGCACAAATAGGTAGAATTAAGTTTGCTTGGACCATTATGTGGCTTGAATTTCTTAATCTTGCTTCAATTTGAAGTTTAAAAACATGTTCATCATTGGTTTTAGTTAATGTAATTTTCCACAGGGTTCTTAAAAAGTAAAGAAAAATGTTTTGTCATTGCATGATGGGTGGTTGTTGTGTTACTGAACCCACATCACTTGTGCAAAGGTTTCACCTGAGAAAATAACCATCTAAAAGCCAAGTGCCAACCAGTGGGTCACAAAATAGATCCACATACTGGACAGGATTCACAAATTTCTGCTTGTCTTTTTCCTAAATATCGAAGGAATGCCATGTTCTGGGGAAGAGGGATGCTGTTGACTGATTGTGGTTGATAAGGGGTTGGCAGGACTAGACTGAAGCATTATTTGCCATCACTTGAATAAACAGAGAGAAAGGAATCATTAGCAAACAAACAGAAAGCACATTACGTGTTTGTCAGGCACTGGAATTAATTAATGACAAAATTAGAGCTCTTAGTGCACTAACTATAAAAAACCCCACCCTTTTCTTTCATGTTCCTGATCAGTATGATTTTGCTTGCTTTTCTGCAATTTCCCTCACAACACGTTTATTTGATACCATTATTTGTCTTACGAAAATAGGAGACAGAACTGCTGTACCTTTGTTAAGCTGAATTATCCACATTTTAAAGTTTGAAATGAAATAAGTGCAAGATAGCCATATGCTGTAAAACTTAAATTCTAGAAACCCTTCTTTAACGTATGTAATCTGCTACTTTTACATCATCTCTTTTGTGCTGTGTGGTAGTTAGGATGGAGTAGTCACCTGAAGGCCTATGATTTCCATGGAGGCATGTTGATTTGTGTCAGCTGTGAGGCCTGACATAGTTTGACTTCAGGATCTGTCCACTTCTGTGTTTATGAAGATAATTTTTCTCGTGTTCATTCTAAAATATAGATTCTATAATTTCTAGGTTTTTTAAATGGAAAACAGTCTGAATGAGACTCTGGAATAGTTTGTGGGAAAGTGGTGGAATCTGTTGCGTGAGAATATCTAATAAAAAAGCTGTATTCCAGATTTGTCAGTATATTGTGGCAGAAGAACCACAGGTGGCCACATGATCAAAAAAAGAAACAGAAAGAAAAACAGGTTCCCAGTGGCATCTCCAGCACTATAGCCTACCTTTTAGATTGGTCTTGCCTTTTGTAATATACCTCCCTACTCACATTCAGTGGGAGATTCATTACCCAGCAGATACCAGTGTGATTACAATCCTGCATAAGTATATTATCTTGCGTTTTCAAATATGCCAAGATTTGACACAGCAGTTTTTCAAGTCACTTGCCCTTTTCCTGTACTCTGTAGGGAATTTTAATTCTTTAGATTGGTTTAGCTTGTGATTTTCATGAGTTTAAAATTTTTCCACACATGCTTCATTTGAGCAATTTCCAATTAAAATAAACATTTCATACTGGTACACTAATTAGTGTGTATTTCAAATATCTGATTGACAAGGGATATCTCATTTGCTCATGAAGCAGTACTGTGGAAGCAATTGCTGATCTTTCATTTTTCTTTTGGCAAACAGTAAAAAAGAGAAACATTCCTAAAGTACCACTGCAGTCTAGCCTGCCACATGTTTTGTTGGGTTTTTCATTCAGGTATGCCAGCCTTTTTAGTAGAAATTTAATGGGGTATAGAATATATTTTTCCTGAATGATTCATTTTTCTATTTTTGCTTCCCAGTATCTGACTATAAATATAAATTTCTCTTTCCTTAATGGCCACATTCTTTGGGATTTTTTTTTTCCATAGAATTTAGCTACAAGCAGCTTATAGTTAAAATGGTCACCACTTTCTAGTGGCTTTCTCAGGCAAACCTGGGTTTGTCCTTGGTAGTAATGAAGTCTGGTAATTTTTACCTTGCTGTGGGACTGGAGACAACCTATTGTCAGGGCTTACGATGGACTTTAGGCATACATTGTACTCAAAAGCCCCACCAAAATGGATGAAGACATGTTCTCTATGGCTTAGTCTGAAAGCCTTAGAGACTTCTGCCTGCTTAGATTTTCAAAGTAGTGACCATTGAATTGCTTGTTACCAGTACAAATTAATATCTTTCAGCTTTAGTGAGCTGGGTTATATGAAGAGCACTTTGAATTGTTGAGCACAGACATACCAAGAACTTTTAGTTAGAAGATGTAATGCTATCAGAGAAAACTTCTGAAGGAAATAGAGATTTCTGTTTCCCCTAAAGAATTCTAGTCAATACCATAAAGTTGTTAGAGATGTACTTCACTCGACACAAATTATTGGACTCGCTATAATGCTAGCTAGGTTAAATTTGATAGCTTGTGTCATACAAGATGGCCTGTCACACAGTTTCAGTCTAAGAACTGACACTTCTACTTCTGCTGCGTCTTGAACAAGGCAGTGTCAAACTCAGATTCCGTGTTTGCACGTATATTTTGGAAACTTGTAATGTTACCATCTTTAATGGCTTCATAGTAATTGCTGTTTTTCTAAACGCTTCAGCTCTAAGTGATTGTAGAGCTCTGCTTCAGGGGTGTTGTACCCCTGTGGTTGTCACAGCTGTGAAGAAAACCCTAGAAAAATAATCCTGGGTGCATTCTTAAGTCTTGCTGAACAGTTTGAAAGTATGAACATTCATTTTTTAATAAAATTATTTTAATTATTTTCAAGTCAGTCCTGGTGATGAGGAAGAACAGATTGGGCCCATCTTGAGATTTTTGAATGCTTGCCATGGAGTACTCTGCCTGTACAACTGAATTTTTAGCCCCCAGTAACTTGACGTTCATTGAGGGGTGACCAGTTCTCTACTTAAATTTCAGGAGACAGATCAAAGACCAGTGCATTTTCTTAAAGTCTCATTACTTTAATACTTTCTGATGATTTTAAAGGTTTTAACATGAGCGTGGTTTTTGGAGCTGGCAATGCTGCCCATTTGTTTATTACTGACTTCTGCTGTTTACTTCACGCAATAGTGCCAATGAGATGTGCTGTTAAAGTGATGACAGTGAATCTTTTACACTATATTTCTAGTCCGTGCTTTCTTAATCCTGGCCATTATATGTGTTGTATATTAGACCATGTTTTTAGAACAATGCATAAAATAGAGTATTTTTATTTTCTAAGACAGATAACAGTTGTGTAATATTATGTATAATCTATTATATATATATATTATCACTTTTATTTTCAAGTTTAAAAATGACTGGAAAGATAATAAGCAGGGGCTGAAATTGTATAAGTGGAAGAGCTACTGGTGAGATAGACTTGACAAGAGAGCCCAACGGGGGGGGCTGTATGGAGGGAAGATGCCACACTCAGCAGTTTCAGAAATCGCTGATGGAAAGCTTGACAGACAGCGGTGACAAGCAAACTGAAATGTGGTATGTAGCAAACCACCATTGCTGACCTGCAAACAGGCCTTTCTGGGCAGGGTTAATGGATGA